CGGGCCTCCTGGCCCGGCTGCAGGAGGGCTGAGTGGCAGAGCTGTGGCACCACATGGCCGCCCCGTGGCACCACGGCAAGGACTGATCTGCAGGGACAGGTCTGGGAATGACCAGGGGGGGCTGCGCTGTGCGGGGGAGTCCCTATCATCCCGGAGGAAGCAGAGCACGTGGCTAGCCACGTATGGGCCAGTGAGCACCTCTGCCCGAGCCCACACCAGGGCGTGAGCACTGCCAGAGCGGGAGAAGTGCTGGGCAGGGCCTCGGCTGGAGAGGCAGCCCCCCGTAGCCAGGCATAAACCAGGCCTAGAAATGGGCTGGGGAGATGACAGACCCCCTCCTGCAGCCACACGAGGGTCCCCGAGCTGCAGTGCCGCTGCCTGGAGCGGCTGACTCCCCAGTCGGCAAAGTGGCCCAGAACCCCATCAGCTGGGATGTCATCGGGGCTGCCGGCAGCCCTACCAGTCCGAGTGGGACCTGCCCCCCAGTCCCCTGGCTCCCGTCGGGGACCCCCCGTAATCCTTCGGTCCCGGCCAGTCGGGAGGAGTGAGCGGCGGCAAGGACCTGGCAGCGCCAGCGGCGGCACCACCCACCTCGGCAGATGTAGGAGGTCACGTTCAGGAGGAAGGCGTCCTCCAGCAGCTCGGCATAGTTGTCCCGCTGGACGGACAGCCCCGGGCGGTAGGAGGTGCCCTCGCAGGCAATCACCCCCAGCTGCTCTGAGTTGGGGGAGGTGCGGAAGATGTCCCCTATGCCCAGGGAAACCACCTAGGGACAAGAAGGCCCATGACTGACTGGGACTGGCCGGGCGTCGCTCTGCACCGCGGGGCGCCCAGCTGCCTTCCTGGGGTGGCCTCTGGGCCAGATGTGGCACAAGGGGCATGCAGGAGAGCGGAGAGGGCTGCCATCCCCACGCAGGCCCCCCACGCCCACCTGCTGAGCGGGGAACCAGCAAGTGCTCCGCTGTGCCGACACGTGCTCTCTGTCTTGCCGCCCAGTGCCGGCCTGGCGTCGCTCTGCACCGCGGGGCGCCCAGCTGCCTTCCTGGGGTGGCCTCTGGGCCAGATGTGGCACAAGGGGCATGCAGGAGAGCGGAGAGGGCTGCCATCCCCACGCAGGCCCCCCACGCCCACCTGCTGAGCGGGGAACCAGCAAGTGCTCCGCTGTGCCGACACGTGCTCTCTGTCTTGCCGCCCAGTGCCGGCCTG